TAGATCAGTATGATCAGAATTACAAATAACGGAATCACTTCGCCACCAATAAAGTTCATGTAAAAGTCCGGGTCCGCGGTAATATAGCTAAATTAAAAACAGTTTTTGATGATTACAGTTTTTATACTTAATCGAAAAATTCCCATCTAGTGTGTAGCTCATCGGGACAAACGCCGAAATGTAGACGCCAAATCCGATTTTGTAACTCCAAATTGAAACGATTAAAAAGTATACAATCTTATTGTAATTTTCCTGAAATCTTTCGAATTACTATGAGTTAAAGTTCTTCTATTTGTAGGTAAGTTTAGTTTTTTATTCATATAACCTCATTAAATCGATCCCATGTCAACAACATGACAATTCTTGACACGGCTAACACAAAATTCCATAGCACCGCCTGACAGGTGAAACAGAAAAGAACGATAAAGTAGATTCGGGCAAAGATTTGAATAAATCCTGGTAGATATAGATAAACAAAACCCCATTGGGAGGGTTCTTTCATTAAGAGTTCGGTCAGACAGACAACCAGATCGCAGATTATTAAACGGAGGAGGCTGTAATGGTAAGCTGTAGATATGGGAAATCGGGTCGGGTCGGATCGGATTGGGTCGGGTTGAAGGTTGACCCGACCCGACCCGAAAAATTTGAATTTTCGGGTTGAAAGAAGAAAAGAATTGTCATTGTCAAAAGAAGAACGATATGGATGGCGGTCTGTTTACAAACGTTGCAAGGTAACCGACCAAGATTCAACAATGAAAACGACCCGAAAAATTGGTGCGTTGACTCGACCCGAATAAATTGAATTTTTGCGTTGACCCGAAACGACCCGACCCTCCCGGCTTTCCATTTTCCCCGACCTGACCCGATCCGACAAAAGCGATAAGTTGATCCGATTCCCATGTCTAGTAAGCTGTAGATAAGACAACGTTTCAAAAGACTTCAGGGTTGGGCACAATATCCGGACAACTTTTCGGAAAAGTAGTTGTCACACGCTTCATTCATTTCAAAGTGTCAAGTATTATATAGAGAATTGTAGTCCTTAATCTTCGCTATATTTATGTTTTAAAAATTTCCCAATTGGATGCATACAACAAGCCTTTGAATGAGCACTAGTCGATCCCTATCCGGCGCGCTGCCATTTTTGACGATTTTCTACATAAAAATTTGATCTAAAAAAGACTTTATTCAGTAAACTTCGTGTGCATTTTATTTAAAAAATTATCTCCAATAATTTCATAGCGCTATAACACCTAATATAACGAGATACTCATGTGAACTAAATATCAAAAATCATCAATTTCCACCTTTTTCCCTGCGTCTTTAAAGAAGCTTTAAAGAAAGAGCCGGATTTTGGTTATAGCAGATTAGCCAAAAGGTTATAGCAGATTAGCCAAAAGGTTATAGCAGTTGTAGCGAAGATCAAGGACCACAATTCTCTACATAACACTTGGCATTTTGAAATAAATTAAGCGTGCGAAAACTACTTTTCCAAGAAATTGTCCGGATAATTGTGCCCAACTCTGTAGTTTTTTCTGATGTTACTACAGCCTGACAGTTTGTATCTTTACAATCAGATTTACCTAACCATGGTTAGTCAGGCTCCACATAATGAATTTTAAAAGCCCACAGGTCGCATCTTCAGTCAAAGTATACTATTGATAAGTTCCCAGATCCAACAAGTAAAAACAGTCTCTAATTTTTGTGGGTAAATCTAGAAATTTGGAACCGTTTGGACCGGCCAACAACCGACGATGGATGAAAAATGACTGACCTACCTACAGGTCTGAATGACCGACAGAGAATATCGATTGGCCTCGAGCAAATGCTTTGCCTAACCAAGTTTCCCATGTCTAGCTAGCTAGCTATTTCCCATGTCTAGCTAACACTTAAATAATTTCAAACTCAAGAGTATATATGTCGTGGCCGATTTTGATTTTCAGCCGATTTTAACTGAAATCGCTAAATGCTAATTTTCTATTTTTTGAAATGTAAATCGGCTAGCCGATTTTAAATTAAATTTCTCAATACTAACTTTCTCTTTTTAAATGGGAGTTTATTAAGGTTTTTATTTGATTTCGCATAAGAATATATAAGAAGATATATAAGAGAAATTTAACGAATCAAACAAAACGAACAAATCAAACAAAAGACAATTCGGCCTATGGCCTATAGCTTGTTAGCGAATTCACGTCCATTATTCTATTGGAGGGTTCGTGGGGCACCAAAAGTTGCGAATATCTCCGCCAAACAACTTCGAACGCAGTCTTCGTCTTAAGTGCTCGCAAATTGATGAATTTCGTTAAGTGATCCTGGTAGACCATCACAAATTTAAAGTCTTCATCAGGTACCAATTGCAAATCAATTAGATCCACCTGGCATCGTTCGTTTTGTTCTTTTGCAACAATTGGTTTCACGATAACTCCCTTTTTCCGCGTTTCTTTTTTGAGCTCGCATTCCGGGCATAACATGATGAAAATTTCGATGAGTTCTTTGGAGATTCCATGATATCCTCAAAGTCCATTCCACATAATATCCCGACCCGAGTGTCTTTTTCTTTCTTTCTTTGAGTTAGTCAAGTTAGTCAAAAGTCAAAAAAACCTATTAGGGAAAGTGCGAAGGGAAGTAGCAAACATGTGGAAAAACAGTGAAAGTGAACTCGCATTTAAAAAGAGAAAGTTAGTATTGAGATATTTAGTTTAAAATCAGCTAGCCGATTTGCATTTCAAAAAAATAGAAAATTAGCATTTAGCGTTTTTAGTTAAAATCAGCTACGACATATATGTCTTTAACCCACAAATATTCAACAAACACGTCTCGTAAATTCGATCATGTTTAGTATGAGATAAAAGGATCGAAATAAGAAGACATTGAATGGGAATCGTCGTCAGAATGTGTAGATCGAGGATTATTGAGAGCGCATCCATTTTGAAAAGAATTTGGCTGTAAACTTTGAGACCAACTAGTCGATTTCCCGATAAAAAGTTCAAGTTTGGTTCCAAAAATATAATTGCAACCCCGCCTCAAATTGACTCAATTCCCAGGTGATTGCGAAGTTTTTGAAAACTTTTTTTTACCCGTCTTGTGCATTTCCTCAATTAAATTGGGGGTTGTAGCGTGATAAATTTATTTTAGTTTCGAAAAATGACCCCACAAGACCCCACGAAGCTGGCTCGCCCACACAAACGACAACATCGCAGATCACTGAACAAAGAATTTAAAGAGAATACTTTTTATTTTACGATTATTTGAGTAGCCTTAAAATCTTATTCTTATTGGTGGAATACAAAAGGTTTGGTGTATTATGAGTTGTTGAATCCGAGAGAAACTGTCACCGCGGATCTTTATTCAAAACAGTTGATGAGAGTTAACGAGGCTTTAAAGAAATTGGGCGTTCAAACATCAAAAGTGCTATTTTTGCATGATAATGCAAAAACTCACACTGCAAATATCACTCACCAAAAAATCGACGAGCTTGGTTGGGAACTTCTGCCCCACGCACCTTATAGTCCGGACCTGGCTCCATCAGATTATTTTTTGTTTCGGTCGTTGAAGAGTTTTTTATGGGAGAAAAGTTCGAGAATCATGCACAAATCAAAAAAGCAGTCCACACTTATTTTGGCTCGAAAACTTCCCATTTTTTTGAGGATGGTATCAGGGACTTGCGACAAAGATGGGAACAAGTCATCAATAATAATGGAGAATATCTCATTGATTGATGTGCGTCTTTTTATGTTTTTAGCAATAAACAATTTTGTGACAAAAACCGACATTACTTTTTCCTCAACCTAATAGTAGTAGAAGAACACCGTTTGATAGGGAATGTTTGTAGCCTTGGTCTGCGAGACAAAGCCTCTATTAAAGATACACTGGTGGTCATATGTATTAGTACCCTCTTGCAAAAAATTTTCTCTCAATGATTGCCCCCTTAAAAGGCCTCAATACGTCTTGTATGGAATCAAATTGAATCATCAGTTTTGCACAATTTGGTCGACTCGATGCCCAGACGGATAGAAAAAGTTATTCAAGCCAAAGGAGGTCCAATAGACTATTAAATTTACTGTTGTTTTGTCAATACTTTTGTCCACCATTTTTGTTGATGTCAATACTTTTGTCCACCATTTTTGAGGTGTCTTTTCCGTCCTTGCTATTTTTTAAAAAGATAATAAACATTTCGAATCAATTTTTTTTGTGGTTTTAGAGACTAGAGCTTGTTAGCAAAAAAATGCTTTTTAGCACTTTGAATTTGGCTGCCTTTTAAGGGGGACAATCGTTGAGAGAAAATTTTTTGCAAGAGGGTACTAATACATATGACCACCAGTGTAGATTGGGTAAAACTAGAGACAAGACTACTGCAGTTTTCAAAAGTTAAAGCGGTTTAGAGCGGCTAAATCTAATCACCGATCTTACCTGACAAGTGTAAAATAGAACGGGCTCTTCAACAGGAGATTGGGGTCTTGTGTTGTCATACATATGACCACCAGTGTATCTCTTTCAACAGATATAAAAAAATGGCAATTCGTTTGCAAGAAACCGGCAAAGTCATGAAATTGTGGCCAACATTTGAAACACTTACTAAATAAATGCTTGCTGAAGGCATTATTTCTATAAAGTTACAGAAACAATTTTGCAACCAAAACAGATCTCGTTGCATTTGATTCATCTTTGACTCACCTTTAAGCAGTTGTCCCTCAAGTAGTCCCTTCAAAACAATGTTCAACATTGAAACTCTTTCGACATTTAACCACTAACATGCAACAATTAATGGGATTCGTTGCTTAAAAATTTGCAGGTTTTTATAAGATTTTATCAATACTTAAGCTCCAGGGCCTTTACTAGAGCACAATTCGCTAGACTTTTGGTTAAAATGTACATTCTTCTTCATTTTAGTTGACCTTTTTAAATCCTTCAACACATTTATTAATCTGCTTATTAATCATATACTTTCTACATTATCACTTCATAAACAATTCTTTGGTTTTATCAAATATTTTTAGCTAACCATGTTTAGGCTGAGCTCCGGCTCGATCAAGAATGGAGCACCGTGTCGAGGTGATGCCAGAAAACAGGTTAGTTTTCACAATCAGTTCTCATATCGTAGAAGCTGTTTAGAAGCTTGTTTGTTAAACTTGAAACAAATTAGATTTTTAAATGTCTGGTGCTATCAACTATAGTATCAAGTTTTTCAGCACCAAGCACGGTCGATCGAACATCATCAGAGGAATTCTACTGCTGCTCTTTGGAATCGTGATCGGAGTCTTGGCCGTTACAGCGATTTACGAAATGTATTTAGTTGATCCACATAAATTACGTAAAACACTTGCTTTTATTACAATAAGGTACAGTGTTGCGTAAAAGTTCCAGTACAGTTGTAGAGAAAAACGGCTTTAAAATCTTAGGTTGGAAAGAAAGTTCTCGGAAAAAATTTGCACGGTGATTTCTCAAAAAACAAGCCATGAATCCTTCTCAGATTTTTTGATAAAATTGACTATATTTCAAAAAGTTTTTAACAAAAAAAAATCGGAGTAGGCTTTAAGTAAAAAAAATAAGAGATTTCTTCAGCTGAAGTGACTTGGTCACTTTTGGAGTGACCAGCCTTTAGATAAGTTTTTAATGGGTTACTGGATAGGCGATGGGTTTCATTCAAAGCCTAAAATGAAGTACTTAAAATAGGGAAAATTTGTGATTAAGGCAAATTTTGCTTAAGGCAATCTGATGCTTTAACTTTTCAGAATGATCTGTTTTAGCAAAGACTCAGTGCCGAGAAGATGACACTAAAAAGTTATTTTTTTAAATACAGCTTCTCTGTAAAAAATGTCTTGGCCAAAAATAGAGATTATTGAGCGTATTGCTCATTTATGCTAGCTTTACCTCAAATCGTTTTTGTCGAATCGTTTTTGTCGTGCAAAAAGTGAGCTGCATTTAAGCTGGAAAATAATAATTTTTCAAAAATCTCTAAAATTTGAAGGGAAAGTTGCACTCATCTTTTACGAGTAATTTCTTGGACTCGACTTGTAAATAATAGAACAAAATGTTCTTGAATTGGTGGATTCGTTTTTAAGAAATTTCAGTCAAACTTTTCAGAGAACTATCTTTCCAACCTAATAGCTCACAACGTGGTGGATCTGGATCACAGAATCTGTCAAAAAGACGATTGATCAGAGCGTTGTCAGAAATATTCAAGAGTTTTCAATATGCCATGAATATGCCCCATATGCCAAGAAATATTCAAGAGTTTTCAATATTAAAATTCTCTAGAAACTTATCCAAAACGGACGATTCGCCAATGCTAACGCTTTGTCGAGCGAATTTGTGAGTTTTTCGTTGAAGACAATTGAAAAGATTTTTTCTTTCAGGACAACAGCGAACACGAAGCGGGAAGAGGAAAAGTTTGTTTTTAGTCGTTTTGTGATCTCTTTTTGTTGAGAGATGCTTCCGAGGCTATCAAGGCAAATCTAGCCACCTGTGATGCCAAAAACAAAGCGTTGAAAGAGGGCAGGTGAGTACGCAAAGAAAGTTTCTTTTCAAAGCTTTATTAAAATCGGATCACAACTGTAGAATTTGAATAAAACTTTTAGCAAAAGTGTTTCAATTAAACAAAAAAGTTCTCAGGCACTTTTAATAGATTCAACGCTGATCATTCAGGTCATCGGAGAGTCAATCTTTGGAAATCCTCAACGGAACTCTGGAAATCTGTCGTGCCGAGAAGGACGTTTTGGAAGAAGCGAAGTAAAGCATTTCAATAAAAATAGCTAATAATTACTTTTGTTAAGGAATGCTTCAGAAATTTTCAAAGCAAAGCTGACAACATGTGAAGCGAACAACAAAGTGCTACAAGAGAAGTAAGTGGAGAAATTTGTATTTGAATAAAATTTGAATATTTGAATAAAACCTTCAGCAAAAGTGTTTCAATTAAAAAAAGCTCTCAGGCACTTTTAATAAATTCAACGCTGATCATTCAGGTCATCGGAGAGTAAATCTTTGGAAATCCTCAACGGAACTCTGGAAAACTGTCGTGCCGAGAAGGACGTTTTGGAAGAAGCGAAGTAAAGCATTTCAGTAAAAAATAGCTAATAATTACTTTTGTTAAGGAATGCTTCAGAAATTTTCAAAGCAAAGCTGACAACATGTGAAGCGAACAACAAAGTGCTACAAGAGGAGAAGTGAGTGGAGAAAATTGTATTTGAATAAAACTTTTGTTTCAATTAAACAAAAAAAGCTCTCAGGCACTTTTAATAGATTCAACGCTGATCATTCAGGTCATCGGATAGTAAATCTTTGGAAATCCTGAATGGAACTCTGCAAATATGTCGTCACGAGAAGGACGTTTTGGAAGAAGCGAAGTAAAGCGAAAATGGGACTTTATTTCTACGAAAAAAAAACTTTTCAAAATCTACAATTGTTAAATCTAGAACCTCATCGGAAGCAAGATTTACGGAATGCTTGGCAAAATTAAAATGCGATTCTAGATGGAGTTATTTGAATGAAACCGACTCGTGCTACTATTATCAAGTTACTTATAAATAAAATTAGTGTAGTTAAAATTTTAGGGCTTCACAGAGAATGCTCGGGGGGATCTGGTGAAATATCGTTGGAAAACCGCCGAAGACAATTGTGTGTACTGGGGAGGACATTTGGTGTCGATTCACTCAAAGAAGGAGTTCGAATTCGTGAATAGTTTGTTTTAGAACAGGCAAAATCTAGGTTGGCAACCATGAAATGTCCGTTTTAAGCAAACTTTGTTAACAATTCACTTTCAACGTAAAACGCAATCGATCCAAAATATATCCACCATTATTGTCAATGACCTTTGTCCATCTTTGCTTTAAATCTTAAAATTAAAATTAATGCTTTAAATAATAGTTTACTAACGACATTTGACTGATACCATGATTTTTAGAGCTAATCCAATTCGATGTAAAATCATTAAATGAAGACGCTACGGAGAGCAATGCTTGTTATGGATCAGACTTCTATGCCTGGAATGGTCTCCATTTTGTGAATGGGAAAAGAAAATGGAGTGATGGGACACCGGATGATTATATTGGGCAAGATCGATCGAAGAACACTCTCTACTACATGGTTAGTTATCGTTTTTGTGAGAGTCATGGCTCAAGATGAGTCCAGCTTTGAATCCAGCCTTGACAGGACTGGAGTGCCCATAAGAAAATGTAAACTTGCTTAGCAGGATTGGTCCAGAAGACGTCATCGAGCCCATTTTCTATTTCAAAATAGAAAACATAGGTTCCCTGAATATTTTTGGCTTAATATGAGAAAATAAAGATATTCAACCAAGTTCTGTTTTCTATTTCGTGAGAATGGGCCACGACACATCACTTGGAACCTATGTTCCAAGTGATGTGTTCCTAACATCTGGGTAGTTTGGTATACTGCTACAGATCTGTTGATGGAAATTTTTCTATAATTAACGTTAAAATAAAAAGATAGCGTCTATTTTAATTCAATTCCATTTTCAGATGTGCAACGATATCTCGAATGTCCCTTCAGCCAATGAACTCTACGTTTCGGAAGAGCCTGACGATGTTAATGCGAGATTCGTTTGCAAGAAAGACGCCAATGAATAAATAATCTCAGTTTAATTAATTATTTTATGACCAAATTACTTTTTTATTGCTTTATATGTAATTGATCGATTCTTACACAATAAAAGCTGATGACGATTACTCAAACATTAACATTATACGGTGTATACTTAACTCGTCTGTTTCGTAATTCTTTATTGTTTCTTTTGAGGAAAAGATCAAATAGTGACACCATATGAAAGTCCTTGAACAAGAATTACGAGAAAATGACATTTTTTTCGAAATTTGCCAAAAAGACACTATTTGGACTAGATTCACCGGGTTTATTTTATTGCTAAAGTATTGTATTTTAGCTTGTACTCTTTTATTGTTTTAAAATGAGCAGTAAAAGTTGTTTCATATATCGCGTTAAGGAGAAAAGAAAGCGAAAAAGAAACAGTTGTTACTTTTTCATTGCTTTCAATACAAATGAATGACAAAAAGTACTATCGAAAATATAATGGCCCCCTCTAATGGACGAAAATATAATGGACCCCCCGAACTACTATTGCAGCTTTTACGGTAGATCTTTTTTTCCATTTGTGGTCGAATATGGTTTTCTTTTGTTTCGTAACACAAGCTCCTCTGGCTTTCGAAAAGCGAAAAAGAAACAGTTGTTCCTTTTTCGTCTCTTTTAACACTTCATTAATCACTGAACCCAATTTTATTGCTTCAATTCAGTTTTTTGTTGGTCACAAATTCGACAGTTTCTTTTAAAGTACCATTTTTTGTACTTCGGAGATAAACTTCTGATGTCTTCACATCACTTTGACTTAAATTGTACCTATAGTTGAAATAGATCAACGTCTACAACTGATGTCCGAGAATTGGTGAGCAATTGAAAGGTTTCATTCAAATATTGACCAGATTTTTGAGTAACACTATTTTGGGTACTTGTGAATATTTTGGTGACCACTTAATGTAAATTTTTCAGTCAAACTTTAAAATGATTTGCATTTCACTAAGGATTTCCTTTTAAAAACAATACAAACAATACAACAATACATTTTTTGACTTTTTAAAACACATTTACAAAAGTTCTTAATCGACCGTCATTTATAGCTCAAAAGTGAACCCATTTTTGTTCACAATAGAAAGGAAAAGAGCATTTTGAATAGCTTAGCTTTAAATCAAAGAATAAAACATTTCAATCTTTTTTAAATGTTTATATAAAAATAATTTCCATCTGTTCATTTTCATTTGAGCTTCATTTCGACCTACCAACCGAAAGTGAAAGCGGAAAGTTATCAGAGTTCAGCAATGGAACTAAATCACTACAAGTTGAACATCTTGAATTTCAAATAAATATAAAAAGTCAGAACTTGTGTAATAAATTACACTACGAGATCAATTTTTGTAGTTCTAGTTTTGCAAAGTATGCAAATGTTTTCATGATTTTCATCGCTCTGAATGTCAAACTTTTTGAACTAAAAGCACGTTTTGAACTAAAACGTCAAAAGTTTTATTGTTTTTATAATAAAATTAGAAGTATTAAAATATAAAAAAGGTGGTTGCCTTAAAAAAAATTTCAAAGAAATATTATTTGCGTGCTTGGTACTCCTTACTTAAGACAAGCTATTTCTTGTTTGAGGTATCTGATCCCCTTTGATTCTAACCCTCTTCAACTAAAAACACACTCCTTATTCAAATAGCCGACCGACTCGGAATTTTGAGCTCACAGTTGAGCAATTTTCACATGAACCGACAATTGAATTAAAGGAGACGAGTCAACAAAAAACTTTCAAAATGCTTTACAATCCGCTTGTACCTGATTCAAAACCATTTAAAAAAATATCAAAACAGATGACCATAATTTACTTAAACTTAGACAAAAGAAATTACTATGCTTGTAACTTGTCTAACTCTATAGCCATTCCAGTGCTTGATCTGAAATGAGTAAACACCAGTCGACACACAAGACTCGCTTCTTTTCGTGGATCTTCCGTTTTGGCAGCATTTTACATGCTTGCCCTTTCTTCAATCACTGCCGTTGTAACACTCGACCATCGTAAAAAACCCACGTTTGAGCGTGAGTGATGATGTTCGAAAGAGGAAGCCGACCATGCCGGTATTCGCTCCACAAATGGCTGCATGTCCGCCTTCTTTTGACTTGGATTGTTTCCGATCTTTCGTATGGAATTTAGCGTTGTTTTCTACGATCTCTTTCCACTTTTCGCAGTCATCACTACACAGTCATCCATATACAGTAACTTCCAACCAATTTCCCGGTTGATCCATCGGGGTTTCGCAGGAATCGGTGCCTCAGAATCGATCGATCCACTTTCCAGGGGTGGGCCGCTTCTCCTCTTCCGTTTGATTCTTGTGTTGCCCGTCTTGAATCTGTGAAACCATTCCTATGCAGTACTCGTTCCAACGATTTTGTTGCCATAAAATTGATTGATTTCTTGTGCTGCTTTGGCCGCTGAAATCCCTCTTGAAAATCGTTGGAGCAGTTGGGCGTGAATTTCTTCTCGAGTTGGCTTCATTCGATCGACTCTCTTCTCGTGTCGACTCCTAAAAAATGAATGCTAGTGCAAGAAAGAAGAAAGTTTTAGCATAAAAAAGGAAAAAAAGAAAAATACAAAACGTTGTGTTGTGAGCGAGTACTGATCGAAACAAAAAAATCTCTGGGTTTTTATGGGACAACCTAATAGCGCCTAACTTTTCAATTCGCTGAGCAATTTTCATTCTCTTTTTCTACTAAGTGAGTTTGCTTTTAAAAACCAAGGCAACATCAAGGCTTGTAAAACAAAATGGATTTTGATTTATTTGGGTTTTGTCAAACAAAGCCAAGGCTTGTAAAAATACGATGATCGTATTTAGTCAAAAAATGTTTTTTATGATGTTATCGTTTTGTTGTTTTCGTTAGTTATGCCAGTTCAGCTAAAACGGTTAAGCGTGATCCTTAATGTTATTAAGTGAGATTAGGCGCTATTTTTGCATTCAAGAAATATTGAAAAGCGGCCAAATAACAGAATCGTCAGAGAGATATCGACTAGCACTCATTCAAGCGCTTGTTAAATGAGTTGTACAAGTCGAATCGGGACGTTTTTGGTAGGTAAATGTTGCCAAGAATTAGTGCTACAATTCTCTATATAACATTTGACACTTCTAAAATAAATTAGGCATTTGCCAGATACTTTTCCAAAAAGTTGTCGCTAGAATTCGAGGTCACCGATTTTTGAGCGAAATCGATAGATTCTAATGAAACTTTGCACTTTGCTTAGTTGGAACACATCTTAATTTTCGAATTATTTATTTATCGTCAACATTTTGGTGTACTCTTGAGGCTTGGTCTTTAAAAGCTCCCTTTTCTTTGCCTGATGAAGGACTTCGGTTCAGAAAACAACATTCTACCGATTGCTGGCCCAAGTTTCCTTCCAAAAAAGATTTTTTGACTAAGTACGATCAAAAAAAGTTATTTTCAAAGAAAGAGCTAAATTTTTTGTACAAACTTTCGCAAATTATATGAGTCGCTGAAAATTGTTAGTTGCAAAGTGTTTGCCAATTCTTATCTCTCTCGAAAACTTGCTTTCAAAAGAGTGATTTACTTGAAAACTAGTTGTTAGGGAGTGTAAAAATGAAGCTAATTTTTAGGAAAGTTTTGAATATGATAAGCGTTTGCTTGCTTTAGCCCCGCATGTTTGGCTCCTAATCCGAAAATCGAATCCCAAATGCCGAAAATTCGATCGGTTAACGCTGGAAAGACGAGCTCGGGCTGAATTGAAAGCAACAATCTCCAATAACCAATTGCAAATCTGAAAATTTGGAGCTTCTCAAGTGAAATCAAGCCAATATTATCTATCATCGGTCGGAAAGTGACCATAAAACAAAAGAATAAAGTCTTATATGAAGAGATGATGTAAAAAGTATATAATTAATAAGCAGATTGATACATGTGTTGAATGATTTAAAAAAGTCAATTAAAAATGTAGAAGAATGTACATTTTAAGCAAAAGCATTGCCAATTGTGCTCTAGTAAAGGCTCGGGAACTTAAGTATTGGTAAAATCTTATAAAAAGCCGTCAATTTTATGTAAAAAACCCATTCATTGCTTCATGTTAGCGGTTAAATGTCAAAAGAGTTTCAATGTTTTCGTTGTTTTTTTTTTGGATGGACTGACTTGAGGAACAACTGCTTAATGATGATTTGACAAGGTGAGTCAAATGAAACGAGATCTGCTTTTATTGCAAAATTGTCTCTATCAAAGATTTATTTACCCATAAAACCAACGAAAAATGTATAAGAAAGGAATTAGAAGTTATCAAACGTAGATAAAGCCAAATTTTATCCAAAAAATCCTTCACGGCTTAAACGTTCCAGATTAACAATGAAAGATACCCTTAAAAGCATACAACTATTTAGAGATGTATTGAGGAAGTTTAAAACATATCCAGAGCTTAGATGCTCTAACAAGAGCTCATTTAAATACTATCTTCCGTATCCATTCGGGTCAGATTCCCAAGCTAATGGTAGGCCTCATTGGACCACGGGCAACTCCCCGACCCCGAAAACCTGTAAGGGGGTTGTTTTTGAAGCTTTAGCTTCTCCCGTTCTGGAGATGAAAGTTGCGTTTGGACGGACGGACAGACACTGCTATTTTATATATAATAGATTAAGCAGAATGGAGTACAAGTTATGCGGTGCTGATTTCTCGTACACCTCACCTTCATCTATCTTCAACCATTTGAACGTATTCTATTTTATAATTACCTCCAAATATTCTTTTTTAGAACAATCATAAAGATTTATGGGTTGAAATAACCAAAAAAATAAAAAATAAAATTAACGATACCAAACTATGAATAAAAGTCAACGAATGAAAGCAAATATTAAAAATAAGTATAATATTTTTAAATATTAATTAATATTTATAGCAAATTATGGGACTACATCAGCGAGCACCGTCAAATGTCTCACAATCCAAAAAACCAAGCCAGTTCAAGTTTTATATCAAAAAATTCCTTGCGTTCCTGGCTACATGATGGGTGAAACAGTTT